GGCAGTCTATCTTGTTGAGGGACAAAGAGCAAAAACATTAAAGTAGACCCTTCACCACTCAAAGCATATATTATACATAGGTATGTAAGAAGTTTACGAAGAGTTGTTACTATGTTTGTATTTGTGATTTTGTAATACTACAACATCGAATTACATAAAAATTTACCATTGGTGAATAGAAGATGAGACGAGGACGGTAGAGAAAGAGCTCAGCAGGGGTGACCTGAGAACACATGAAAACAGAGATGCAATAATGACATACGTGGCGTCATTACAGCCGTCGATTACACATGTGTTCTCATGTCTACCCTGTCGAGATCCACTACCTTGATGATATTTTTCTCTCTTTGAACCTGTAATAAAAATTATAAGAATTTGAGTTTCGATTTTCTTCATAACTTGTAGGAACTATATATACACAAATCATCAAGGATTTGGGTAGTACACAATAATACCACAAAAACTGTGTAGTACACGGGCCAAGTTTTGTTGCATCCGTTTACGTTTTGTATAGTACAAGTAAAAACAACAGACTTGTGTACTGCAAAATTGATTAAAAGAAAAAAGAAAAAAATCGACATTGTACTTCTCAGATAGTACAACAGCGAGTTTTGTACTAGCAATGTTTTTCGGAAATTTCTATGGTACTATGTCCCTACAACTTGTATTCTAAATTTAGTTCAAAGTGACATAACAACTACGAAAAGGAGAAAAAGGTAAAAAAGCAAATACTATTATTTAATTTGGTTTAATGACGAAGCCTTACAAAGGAGAGAGCGAGATATTTTGCATATGTATGTTTTAGTCCCACATCGAAAATACACAGTGAAAGACAACGAGAACGAGATATATATAAATCGGAGAGAGCCTTGGTCTTCAAACTCACGGAGCCGTGCGATAAGCACATAGCGAACTATTCTTTCGCCTTTTACTAAAGAATACCGTGTGCTTGTCGTAATCAAACGACATACGCCTATTTTTGGAGGGTTGTCTCTTATCGAGATCAACTCTATCAAATACAATAACATAAAATTTTCATCAAGAATCAAACTTCAACAATAAACCACGATAACAACGTTTGAGCTCTTTTAACTGAAATTAAGTTGTTGCACAAAAAAAGAAAGAAAGCTAAGTTGTTAAGTTTAAGCTTACGCTAGTCCCACCTCGGAAGAGTATTTGAAAAACCAAGCCGAAGTTTAGCTATAAAAAGAACACCAGCTTAATTTCAACTCATACTTTTCTCGGCCTTTTGGCTTAGATCAAGTGTAAACTTAGTAGTGTGTCCTCACTGATAAAAGATAATATCTGATCGGTGGGCCACAATTTTTTATATGGGGGCGAGCCAACAAAATAGCCTTTTGCTATTACGTGCTCACATTCGTCTCCCATGCGTTGCACTATTGCAAGGGCTTGGCGTACCCCACCAATCTTAGTATCAAAGACTTACGATTAAACCACATTATAAAACTCGATCTCTGTTTTTTTTTTCAACCAAAATTATAATTAAAATATGCCATTATAATTGGTTAACCAATTGGGTGGAGTGTTGCGAACTCGATGTCTTGTTTTATCAATTTCATTCTTAACTCGTCATTGAAGTAAAATCTTGTTGTTTCTACTTTTGTCCCACATCGAGTGAAATAATCGCCGGACAAAAGCAAAGTCATGGGCCAAATAAATCTCTAGGCCCAGTGGGCTTAGGAAATGACTTAGGAAAGCAACTTGACCGGTCGAA